GGGCGGACCGCTCTAGCCAATCCGGCGACGTCTCTGTGGCAGGCCTTCCCAGGGCTGCGGAACCACTCTGGCCACTCCAGCGGCGTCTCTATGCAGGGTCCTCCCGGGGCTGAGGAGCCGCTCCGGCCACTCCAGCGGCGTCTCTACGGAGGGTCCTCCCGGGCTGAGGAGCCGCTCTGGCCACTCCAGTTACGTCTTTATTGCGGGTCCTCCCCGGGCTGCGGAACCACTCTGGCCACTCCAGTCGCGTCTTTATGGCGATCCTCCGACTCTGAGCATGCGCAGGACTGCCAGGCGGGGATCGCTATGGTAGCGGCGTCCGGGTGGGCCGGGCCTGTGCGCTCCTGGCCCGCGTTGGCCGCGTCGTCTGCGGGTCTTATCGTCTGTCGGGCATGAGCACTGCTTTCCGCCTCGGCCCGTTGCCCCGCCTGTCGCTTCTCGACTGTGGGCCCCCTCCGGGAACATGCCCCTGGCCGCCTACTGCTACATGCGGGTCGTGGGTAGGGGCAGTTACGGGGAGGTGACGCTCGTGAAGCACCGGCGGGACGGCAAGCAGGTCGGGACCCGGCCGGGGACCCTGGGGGGAGGGGTGCCCGAGCGGGTTCAGGGCTCATCTCCATGACTGCAGGCTAGGCTTGGGTGACAGGGACAGAGTTCCTCTCCCTCTCTGGGCTTTATCTGCAAACCTCCCTCATCACCTGAAATGTCATGAGAATCGGGACCGTGCAGTCCCAAGCCCAGCTCAACGCTGCTGGCAAGCACCCAGGACAGGGCCCACCACCCTTCCTTAACTCAAGTGCTATATCCTCTGCCTGCAACACAAGCTTTTATGTGAGAGATCCCCTCAGTAGGCACTGGGGGAATCACTGGACAATCGAGATAAGGGTGAGAGTTTAGCTATAAGGCTCACCCTTGGTTTCAGCAGTTCATACTTACTGAAACCCATGTATGTACGTGTTTATGGTTTATGTGATCTTTGAGTTGATTGAGGACAGTATGTTAGATGTTAGCAGATTTGATTTTTTAAGTGGAAATGATGTGGAGGACCAGCAGTTTTTTTAAACTTTGTTGGGCCATGGGTCCATTTGAATATATAAAGTGTGTCATACACCTATTCTGTCAGCAGATATAGATTCAATCCATGTCTTAAGGCTCCTTTGTAGGAAGAACTTAGAGGTTAAGGAATCTCTAACAAATTTTATGATTGCTTCAATAACCTTTGGTGAAACTGTATTTTTTGCTTTTGTTTTTTGAGACAGGTTCTCACTATGTAGCCCTAGCTAGCCAGGGACTCATTATGTAGGCCATCCTAGTCTGGCCCTGATACCACAACAATCCACCTGCCTCTGTCTCCTGAGTGCTGGGATTAAAGTCATGCACTACCACATGCCGCTGAATTTGTATTTTTTTAAATTTACAGGTATTTATTTTTATTGGGGGGGGTATGGGTGTGCCATGGTGTATGTGAGAAGTCAGAGGACACCTTGTGGGAGTTGGTTCTTTCCATTCATCATGTGGGTCCTGGGGAATCAAACTCAGGTAAGTCAGGTTTTGATGGCGCATGCCTTTTACCCACTGAGCCATCTTGCTAATTCCCCTAAATTTAATTTTATGCATATGAGTGGGTTTTTTTTGGGGGGGGGCTCTTTTTGAGACAGGGTCTCCCTGTAGCCCCAGCTATCCTGGAACTCACTACGTAGACCAGGCTGGCCTTGAACTCACAGAGATCCACTTGCCTCTGCCTTTCGAGTGCTGGGATTAAAGGTGTGCGCCACCATGCCTGGCGCATCTGAGTGTTTTGCCTGTATGTATGTAAGTGCAGCACATGTGTGCAATGCCCATAGAGGCCAGAGAGGATGTTGGATCCCCTGGAACTAGAGTTACAAATGGTTGATAGCTGCCATGTGGGTGCTGGGAATCAAACCCAGTTCCTCTGCAAGAGCAGCCAGTACTCTTAACCACTGAGCCATCTCTCCAGCCCACTCCCCTCACCTTTTAGAGATAGGGTCTCACTGTGTTGTCCAGACTGGCCCCAACTTTCTGGGCCCAAGTAATCCTACAGCCTTGGCCTCCAAAGTAGCCAAGATTTCAGGCTCAATGAATTTGTGAGATGCAGATGGAAAGGGTAGGGTGTTTTGTCATCCCGTGTAACCAGAAGTCTAAGCTGGACTAAGTGGTAAAACATTTCCAGCAGTTCTGGTCCCGTCCTCCCCATCTCCAGTGTACCCTATTGCAGCGCCACCACCACTGGCAGTTTTATGTGTTCTGAAAAACTAATCAGTATGTTGTCTGACAGGCTCTAGAAGGTTGGTTTTGAAGAGTTCATGAGAACTCTTAGTTACTTATGAACCTAGAAACTGTATGTTTTCTTGCATATTGTAAAAATATGCATTTTCTTTGTTAGTATGTCATCAAAAAACTGAACCTCCGAAATGCCTCCAGCCGAGAGCGGCAAGCTGCTGAACAGGAAGCTCAGCTCTTGTCTCAGCTGAAGCACCCCAACATTGTCACCTACAAAGAGTCGTGGGAGGGAGGAGATGGCCTGCTCTACATTGTCATGGGCTTCTGCGAAGGAGGAGATCTGTACCGGAAGCTCAAGGAACAGAAAGGGCAGCTTTTGCCTGAGAGTCAGGTGGTGGAGTGGTTTGTGCAGATCGCCATGGCTCTGCAGGTACTGTGTCACACTTGGAGCCTCCTGCATGCTTCAGGTACAGGAAGATGGCAGGTGGATCTTGCTGTGCCAGGGACCACATGACAGACTAGTGACATATGGGCTGTGAATGAAAGAATTTGTTAACCATAGAGCCACAGCAGCGAGGCAGTAGCAAGGAACGGTTTGCACAAAGGTAGCATTAGGGGCTGCTTTTTCTTTTTTTTAAGTGTTTTATTTATTATTTTTATTCTATGTGTATGAGTGTATTGCCTGCATGTATGTGAGTGCATCCGTGTCGTGCAATGCCGAGGAGGTCAGAAGAGGGCTTTGGACTCCCCTGAAACTTGTAGCCACCATGTGGGTGCTGGGACTTGAACCCGGGTCCTCTGCAAGAGCAGTCAGTGCTCTTAACTGCTGAGCCATCTCTCCAGCCCCTAAGGGCTGCTTTTGTGTGAAGTGTTTCCACACGGGCAGCCAGGCAGTGTTTCAATGTCATGTTGCCCTGGCTGTGTAGGTCTTATCAAGTGGGACACCTGTGTGGAGCTCACATCTGGATGGTTAGGCAGACAGTTCATTATTTTGCTGAGGACTAAGTTTTACAGTGTCAGTTGTCTCTTCTTGGGACTTGTCTGTGCAAAGCAGGCATGGGTCACTAGGAGTCAAACTTGGGAGGTCTGAGTCTACGTGTATGTGTGTGTGTGTGTGTGTGTGTGTGTGTGTGTGTGTGTGTGTGTGTGTGTGTGAACTCCCACATATATGCATGCGC